GGGCAGGCGGGAATCGAACTCATGTGGAAGTGGCTTTAGCTTTTTAGTGCTGTGCTTTAACCCGCTGTACCACCAGGGAGGGCTGGGGCAAAATGTCTTATAGAAAAAAAATTTTAATACTCTTAAAGTTATAATTAATGTCCTTTTCTCATAGTGGAAAGCTCACGATGGCATTATTTTAAAAGTAGATTGGAATTCAGTCAATGATCTTATTTTATCTGCTGGAGAAGACTGTAAATATAAGGTATGTAATGTTTGAGTCTATCTGGTTATAAGAGTACAATTCAGGTGAATATTTTAACATGGAAGATTATTCTTTGGTGCTTTATATTTTGATTTTTAATAATGTTGCAAATTGTTATTTTGTCATGGAAGTGGTATTTTAAAGTGTTGACTTCCTCATTGGCCTAAGTGATCTGTGGAATTTGACTTAATATATATATATATATATATATATATATATATATATATATATATATATATATGAGAGTGTGTGTGTGTGTGTGTGTATGATTACTAGTTTAGCTACTAAATTGATATCAATTAACTTAAGCTTTAAATAATCTTACTGGTTCATTAAACATTAAACAACCTAAGACAAAGTATTTTGTGGAGAAGAATATAGTTAGAGGAAATTTAATTGAAATAAATACTTTTAGGCAAAGTTGATAGAGTACTTACTGAGCCTAAAAATTATGCAAAAAAATTACACCTCAGATTTTTATTATTAAATTTAAAAGGAATTAAAATCTAGTAAACTTTGAAAATTATCAGTATATCATATATATCATAAAATTTTTTGGAGATATTTAGGTTTCAACAAGTGTAGCTTTTGGGCATGCAGGTTATAGGGCCCTGCTGTTGGACAGCACTGCTCCAGCGCCTGTTCCTGCTGGCTCTGAATTACCAGTTCCTGCCCAGCTCTGTCTCAGAACATTAATCATTATGAAAATACTAGAAATGTGAATTGCCTTGACAAGATACCTAAAAATGTTAGAACTGGATTGGTGAGGACTCAATGAAGTATGTAGTGATGCGATGAAATTACAGACTCAAGTGGTTGAAAGGGGAAGGTTGTGGAAGCCAGGTTTAAAATATTTAGCTGGTTCTGCAGTTGCCTCCAGCTCAGTAGCCACAGAATGGGTGAAAAGGGAGGCAGGCAGTGGAGGAAGCCTTAACCACTGAAGCACAGCTGTCGCCAGGAACTGTCTTTTTCTGTGAAACTGCTTCATGCTAGTTGATGCAGTCCAGGCTGCCCTGGTTGATCACAGACTGAAGCAAGGACCCAGGAGAGGTGAGGTGGAGAAGAAGTGAGCCTTTGATGACGTCCCCAGCAGACATGTGGCTGCCTGCCCTCCCACCTGTGCACTCATCCTACATGCTCGGAAACCTCTGCCAGTGCAATAAAAGAGTTAGGAGATGTGCACATTTGCTATTTCCATTGTGGCTGATGCAAACAAATAGTTTTTTGTTCTGTGTTATGTGGTCTCTTTCAGCTCACTTTTGTCACCGTTACATAGTTCATGTATATTTTGAATTATGGCTGATCTCAAAACTGAAATCAGTAATACAGTTTCAAGTTTTGATAATCCATGAAGTGCACAAATAGGTAATTTTACCTGAATCTTTTTGAGGAAGATTGACAATGCAATAACTTGGCCTGATTATTTGAAAGAAACAATTATTGTGCATGAAGTAACTCTGTGTTTGTGTATGTATAATAAAAAAAGAATGTTAAGATAAAAAAATGCAGCTTTTTTCCATCTTATGTGATAATAAAAATATTTCACTGCTAATAGTATAAAGTGATGATTCTAACTCCTTGCTGTTTACCTTACTGGAGGACAAGGTTATTTGTAATAATGTGGTACAATTAAAATAATTTTTAAAATTTGCTTTTGTAGGTTTGGGATAGTTATGGCCGCCCTCTGTACAATTCACAACCTCATGAACATCCTATTACCTCAGTTGCCTGGGCTCCAGATGGAGAATTATTTGCTGTTGGATCCTTTCACACTTTACGCTTGTGTGATAAGACTGGGGTAAGTTCCAGTGGTGAGTAGTCACAGATGTGTCGCCACACAATACACCCAGTTCTTAATCTTTAAAAATCATTTTCAGTGAATGGGTTTGTATCTTTCTGACTTGTCTTCATATCTTGTTTCAGTCCGTTCCAAAATTGGGAGATCATATAACTCTTAATTAAGCTTGCAGAATGGGCATGCTCTTTACTATTTGTCTTTCTGGGAATAATTATGCATGCTTTGAAGATGGTGAAGTAGTTCATATATTCAAATTTATGCCCAATCAACATAAAAAGTAGTTTTACACAAGGGACTGTGGTGATGGTTCATGGGTAAGCCGGTGGTGGGAATTTTAGGAGGACTATACCTAAGAGAAGAAAGCATGTATTGTACAATAAAGAATGATGTTTTTTTATATATATAATAAAAATGTTTAAAAGTTAGTTTTGAACTTTTATTTAAAAATTTCAATATTTTCATACAAAAATTTTGTTTGCATATTTTAGGTAAGGAATTGATGTTAAATTTTAAAGTGGTCATTTTAAAACCAAAGAATTCATGTTTAAAATATGTGAGAAGCTTTCCTTCATACAAAACCAGACAAGTTCAATCTTAAGAATGAGTTGTTTAATCAGCATCTTCCAGAAGCATCATCATCATATGGCAAAAAGAGTTGAGTGGGATTATTTAAGTTATCCATAACTATGAGGAACTCCTATGATTCTACTGTGGCTTATTTTCCTCAGTGGAAAATGAGACAATTTAACTTAAAATTTTTAGAATTTATAAATGATCTATTAATTTCTCTGGTTATTTGAATTTTATTGCATAAAGTCCTCAGCTAACTTTAGAAACTCAGAACCTAGTGTCATCAATTCCATGCAGTCTTTCCCTTCCCATTACTTAATTTGTATCCAAGCTCACATTAGGTTGAACACTCACTAATATTGCCACTCTTCTGTTTCTCCCATTCCTTAAGTCTTTCTCATGTTTTACTTCATTTATTTCATTTTATGATATCAAAGCTAATCTTACACTTTTATTGACCTGTTTTCTAACTTTTACCTGAGTCTCTTTTATTAACCTCAGGATGTTTGATCAGACCATCTAATTTTCATCTGATTTCTTATTGAAGATTCTAAGTCCTCAGAATATATACTCTAATTTTCACAATGTATTATGCTCTCATGTAGTCCATTTTAGTTTTCATCTGTTGTTTTTAACTTCCTAGATAGTTTGAAAGATCCCTAGATAGCTTGTAAGAGCTCAGTGAGTCTCTATACATGCTAGAGAAAAGGAAAAAGTTACCTGAAGACTGAAGAGCAAATAAAAATAAGCAGATAGCCATTTTGGAAAACAGTTTCATGGCTTTGAAAATGAAATTGGCACTTGAACCACAGCCCACAAAAGTGAGCCAATATATGAGTTAGGAACCAACACAGGTAGCAGAATTTCTATTCTGTGAATTTTAATTCCAATTAGATGAAAGATCATAAAACAATAAAATTAATATAATGTGTAAGTGGTAATAAATGCTATAAAAAGTAAACCTGGGTGAGGGACATAACATTATTTTACATGAGGTGTTCAGTGAATTTCTGATACAAAGTAAATGTACATTATTGAGTGGTTAGTAAAATAAATTATGGTACAGGTAAATTATAGAATAAAAATTAAAAACAAAAGTACCAGGGCCCTTCCTGGTGGCACAGCAGGTTAAAGCACAGCACTGAGAAGCTAAAGCCACTTCCGCATGAGTTCGATTCCTGCCTGCCCCGGAGGTGACCACATGGCGTGGCAGACCTCTCCTGACCTGCCCGCTGCTCCCCTCAGCAGTGTCCTTCGTCGATCTGCCTGTTCTGCTCCCCACTCTGTCTCTGGTGAAGCCTCTCACCACCCCTGAGCCTCTGGCCTGTACCCCAGTTCTGTATGTACAAATAAATAAATCTTTAAAAAAAAAAAAAAGTACCATAATTTCCCCTTAGATTCCATAATAGATTTTACAATTACCTTTGATTTTAAAGAAATCCATGAGTTAAATATGTGAAGGAAAAATCTTACAAATCAACAATTATTATAATAAATAAGCAAAATATGTCAGTGAGTTGCATTGTATTACATTAAATTCAAGGAATTGCATCTGATCCCTAAGGCTGCACTTTTAATTAACGGACGTTGTTGCTTCTATTCATCAGCAGGTGGCGCCAGCGTGTGAGCAACCCGTTGCCATTCAGATTTTCTTTATTAAACATTCCATTAGGCTTTATAATAAAGGTTTCCTGGGTTCATTTATTCTTCCATTCAATTAAAATCATTGCACTAATTCATCATTTGTCTTACTGATTTTACCGCTGCTACATTTAACTTTTCATTGTCAATTATATGTGTCAGCATACACAATTTAAGAGAACCTGTAATTCCTGGTATGTGAGAGAGACTATTAATCTTAAAAATCAGTTAGTGTGGCTAAAAGAAATACAAGAAATTTTTCATCTGTTTTTGCTTCCACCTAAACTTAATTTGCAAGTATATTCCTTTATGATTGGAACTCACCCAGTTTGGCTAAAGAAATAAAACTTTTTTTTTTTTTAAGATTTATTTGTGCATACAGAACTGGGGTGCAGTGAGGGTGAGGTGCAGGGGGTGAGAGAATTCACCAGAGACTGAGTGGGGAGCAGAACAAGTAGATCTACTGAAATACACTGCTAAAGGGAGCAGCGGGTGGGGCAGGAGAGGTCTGCCACATCATGTGGGTCACCTCTCTTGGGGGGAGGATCAAACTCATGCTGCAGTGGTTGTGATAGCTTCATAGCCCACTGTAACACCAGGAGGGCCCCAAAGAGAGACTTTTGAGCATCATTATAATGTATATTTATGTAGAAATAGTGAAGAGAAGGGGGAGGTTTGCATTTTAGGAAGTACTTTTAAAATTTTCTATAGTAAGGTCACTTTTTTTAGTTAGAATATCTCTCATGTCAAGAAATAATCTGCATGCCTAAACAATTGGACAGGATAAAGAAAAAAAAATGAAATGTGTTATCTTTATATGGCAGCATTTTATAGATGTATGCATACTCAGTTGTGCCCTGTATGGTCCTGTCCACAATGAAAGCTGACTTTATTTACTTTAATGTAGGAGTAGTTAGCATGTTGTAGAACTCTGGGGTCAGGACTCCAGTGGTGAATTACAAAGTTGGTCTCTTCTGGGCCTTCAGTTTCCTCCTCATCAATATAAATGGGCTGGGCTGTGTGACCTTATCTCTCCAGTCCACAGTTCTAAGATAGCTTCCTTATGGTAACTAAACATAATATTTGCTTCCTCTCATGAGAAGTGTAGTGTGTTGTTTCTTTTTTGTTTGTTTGTTTAATATAAGGTTGTTGTATAGGAAGAGGCAGTATTGCAGGGGACATGTCAGAAGTTGGAAAAACTCAAGCAGTGCTCAAGAAGTGTGACTGATCCTATAACTTCAGATTTACCCTACATTTTGTTATAATTGAATGCAACTAGCAGAAAACATTAAGAAAAATATATATATATAAGATAAAAGAGAAAGCTGAAGGTGTAGTGCTAAGAAAACAGATTGTTCTCTGTGACTTTGGCCTCTACTTCTTTCTACTACCCTTCCTTTTTCTTTCCCAGGGAATTTATACTCCTCTTCCCCAGGGTTTGCATGCTGGAAAGGGATTAATGTTAACAGCTCTCAAGTGTACACCTCTTGTAATCAAGAAGGCAGCCAGGTTAAGATAAGAGTATTAGTCCTGACTTTAAATACCTCTGGGGAAGTCTCTGGGCCAGCTATTGTTATTTAATGGAAAAAGTGTAATTGTTTTAAAAGATAAAAGAGTAGGATAATGATAAAATTTCAGCTATATCTGGACTTATTTTGGGTGAGACTATACTTGGCTAATGTAAATTTCCTGTCTGTGGTTGACCAACTTAAAAACACAAAAATCCCTTTTTTAAATCATCAAAGATTATTTTTCTTTTGAATTTGAATTTGCTGATTTGTTTCTGATTTTGTTTCTTAAACATCTAAATTTAATTACTATGTCCAGAAGCACAAAAATTTTATTTAACAAATGTCCATTGAAGAGGGGTTTGCTAAAATCATGAAAATGTTCCCCCTGCATGTGGACCAGTCCAAGGGTGACCCCTTGTCTTCTGTGTGACACTGTCCCCCACCTCAATTTGGGGGAGAAGTGGCATAGTTTCCACTTCAGAAATACCTTTCAGAGTGTCCTGTTTGTCAGCAACTCATGAACCAAACTCCAACAGTCACACATTCTGATTTGTTATTGCCAGAGATGTAAATGTAAATATACTAAAATCCTTTATTTTGATTTAAGATATTTTTCCTTTTATTTCATTTTCTTTAATGTTGTCTTTGCTCACCCTTTTTAAGGATCCTATAGATTTTTCCAGATCAGTAAGCCATATCTAGTTTATTGTTTGCAGTATCATCTATGAGGGACTATGGATTTGAGCAATTTAAAATTGCTCCTTAAGGATTTTCCCCTAAATATTCTAAGATGTCCATGTATTTTTCTGAGAAAGATTCTTTCTCATAGTGTACTTTCTCATACTGTCAGGAAATATTCCTCAAAATTATAGTTTTCTTTTTTTCTTAGCATAATCTAAATGTCTTTTGTACAGTATATGTGCATATTTTTATTTCATAAATCCATTTTGTTTCTTTTTTTCTTTCTAAAAAAGTAATTTTAAAATGTTTTCTTTTGGAATACTTGGTATTTCAGTAGAAACATAAACCAGACCAAGATCCTACTACTGCTTGGCAATATTCTTAGATTATTGTTTCATTTATTTTTAATTATGAATAAACCTTTCAAAACCCAAACCACAAACTATTTTTAAAAAGTGGTAAAAATATTATTTCATGTGTTTATACTTATATTATTCTTTAATCCCCAGAGCCTGTAAATATGTTACTTTAAGTGGCAAAGGGACTTTACAGGTGACATTAGGGTATAGACCTCCAGGTGGTTAGACTGTCCTGGATTGTCCAGGTTGGCCCAGTCTAGTCACATGAGTCCTTAAAAGCAGAGAATTTTTCCTAGCTGGGTTAGATGATGAAGGAGTAGGAAATTCAAAATAAAAGCAATTCAGCCTGCTGTTGCTGGCTTTAAAGATGGAGGCTTGTTCAACCATATATTTGAGATTTCCCTTGCTGTTGGGTATGTATAGTGACATAGTTTTTGAATGTTTTCAAATCTCTCCTTAGGCAGAAATAAGAGACCATAAACCAAAATCCACTGACAGTAACTACAAAACTAAGTGACACTGTATTCCCCCAAATATAAGTCATTTGCCCATTTACCATTAAGAAATACACATGGTATCAGCATTTGTGTGAGGAAGTAGAGGAAAGGCAACCAGGCTTTTGAGACCACATGAAAAGGACTCTCAAGTCACCAGTAAGCCCCTAAACTAAAACAAATACCAGAAGCTGAGAATAGCAGCTAAAAATAGAAGGAAATTGTCTATAGCATCCAATTCTAAGTGACAGAGGGACAGAGTATATATCCATATGCTACACTAGATAATGTATGACATGTTGTTAGACATATCTGTATCACTTCTCTTATGCCTGTTTTTAGGTAAATTCTGGGTTCTATGCACACACTTATTGAATAAAGATATAAGGATAAGACAAACAATAAAAAAGGGTTTTCTATAGGGGCAGGTGAGAATGGGGCTAAGAACAGTGATAAAAATTAGACTTCTAAAAAAGTGCAGCTACCATATGACCCAACAGTTCTACTTCTGGGTATTTATACAAAGGAAACAAAACACTATTTTGAAAAGTTCTATGCACGTCCATTTTCATTGTAGCATTACTTACAGTAGCTAAGACATGGAAACAACCAACCCAAGTATCCATTAGTGGATGGGTGGATAAAGAAAGTGTGTGTGCACGTGTTGGTGTACATACTACACACACATAATGGATTACATTATTCATCAATTAAAAAGGAACAGAATCTTGTCATTTGCAACAACAGAGGGTCTTAGGGCATTATGCTAAATGAAATAGGTCAAACAGAGAAAGACAAATGCTGTATAATTTCTGTATATGTGGAATCTTTTTAAGAAATCAAGCACATAGATTAAAAGAATAGAGTGGTGGTTGCCAGAGTCAATACAGCATACTTGAAAGTTACTTAAAAAAAGTAGATCTTAAACATTCTTAACTCAATGAAAATCTAAGATTACAAAATCTGAGAAAACAAAATGTAAGATTATGTATATGGTGATGGATGATAAGTAAAGGCTTATGTTGATCATTTTACTATACACACACACACACACACTAATCATTATTATGCACCTGAAATTCCTGTTTTATGTCAATTATTTCTCAGTTTAAAAGAAATGAAACAAATGACCTTAACTGTTTTTAGTTGTTTGTATAACTAGTGAATGAGGAGCTATTCCAAATGACTTTAAGTGATTTCATTATCTGTTTCTTGCACTCACACTGCAGAATAAATACAAGTGGCTCTGCCATTTTGGAAAATAGTTTATCAGTTTCTCAAAATGTGAAACGTAGAGTGCCATAGACCCAGCAGTTCCACTTCTGGGTCTGTATCCCAGAGAAGTGAAAATGTATGTTCCTGCAAAAATTTATATACAAATGTCCATAACAATATTATTCATAATAGTCAAAACCCTAAAACAAACTAAAAAAAGTCCATAATATGATGAAGAAACAAAATGCTACATCTGCGCAATAAATATTATTTGGCAGTAGAAAAGGAATGAAAACTGATATATGCTACATCATCCATGAGCCATGAAAACATTATACTAAGCAAAAAAGCCAGTTACAAAAGACCATATAATGTATTATTCCATTTCTGTGAAATGGCCAGAACAGAAAATGAAAGTAGATTAGTGGTTGCCAAGATCTGGGGTCGGAGAAGGAGAATGGGAGTGACTGCTAATGGGTATGGGTTTCTCTTGTGGTGATAAAAATGTTCAAAATTAGATAATGGTGATGGTTACACATCTCTACTACACTAAAAAACCACTCAAGTCTCTACTTTTGAAAGATGGATTTTATATGTGGATTGTATCTCAGTAATTTTTTTTTAATGAGATAAGCTTAAGGACAAAGGATTAAAAATATTGAAACTTTTTTGGAATCATTTGTGGTGTTAAAAGTATTATTTTGAGTAGATTTGTGCTATTTAAGACTAACTATTTTTGACTAGCTGAAAGGAGATACTGAGTGTATAGCTGAAAATATTACTGTGCTTGGATTTGAATCAAAAGTATCATTTTAAGTTAATGAAAAAATTTCCTAGTTCTGTTCACTAAAAAGACCTGGAAAAGTAATGATCAAATTAGAAAAGTAGAAGTAATGATCAACAGTTGACAGCCTTAGCATCTGTGAATATTCTCTAAATAACATTTTCTACATTTCATAAAATGAGCTCATTGAAGAAAAGACTGATGCCAGTTGTGGGTCAGGAAATTAAGCCTGAATTTGGAGCATTTTTATTATACTAGAAAACAAGGAAAGTGATCAAGAGTACAAGATTCTGTCTAAAAGATCAAACTACCTTGAAAAGGCTACAGTTAGATAAAATTGGACTAATTTGAACATTGTTTATTGATGTACATCAGATACGGATCAAATTGAGTTCATGATACTAAATAAGACCATTTTTTGGTTTTATTTGACAGTTGCAAATTCTTAAAGCCAAGGAATCCCCCACATACTGCTAGTTTCACAAATTTCCAAATTTCACTTTTCAGAAAGTTTGGGAAGGAAGAGGCTTACATTATTCAATCAACTCTATATTACTCAAGTAGTAAGGTTTGCAAACAAAGTCATAAAAGACAAAGAGAAAAGAGAAAAATAAGTTACCTTTTTGGAGTGAGCAACCACCAGTATTAGACAAAATCCTTGAAAGCCCAAAATTTCAATAATAATGAGTTCTTTGACTCATATATATTTTTTTCTTACCTATCATAAATTTAGCAGGAGGACAGAGATTAGGAGTCTGAAGTGGTAAAAATATTTACCTTGTTTGCCAACCATGTGCAGAATTCCTTAATCTTTCTCTTGAAGCCATCTTGAGGAAATGAAACTCTGAACATAGGATAGGTCTCCTGGCAATTTGACAGGCCACAAGTGAAATCATCCCATTCTTCTCTGGGTTTTTCTAGGCCAGTCTGTAATCAAACAAGTAGGAGGTAGATTGTTAAGAGAAAAAGCCATCTTAGAAGTTTTAATACCATTGACACTAGTCTTTTACACATGGGAGAGACCCTATACGACTGAGTAACTGCTAAAAATGGTTTTAATATATCAGTTTTTCTCTCTTTCTTCCCTAGTGGTCATATGCATTAGAGAAACCCAACACAGGCAGCCTATTTAATATCGCATGGTCAATTGATGGCACCCAGATCGCAGGTGCTTGTGGAAATGGACAAGTTGTTTTTGCACATGTGGTGGAGCAGCATTGGGAGTGGAAAAATTTTCAAGTAACATTAACTAAAAGAAGGACCATGCAGGTATGCTATTTTCAATGGTTGATTAAACCTGCTTCTTATGTTAGTTCACTACACAGAATATAGAATTGCTTTCATTCATTATATTTAAATCATGTTAATAAAAACTTACTTGCAATGAAATCTTTTAATTACACCATTGAGTGACTTTTTCATGATTTTAAATAAGAATCTTTCCCTGATAATAGCACCCAAATGTCCACAGCTACTGCAGTTATGGGCTTAAGAGGGTCTAGTGACATTTGAAGCAATTTTTGAGTGATATAGATTCAGTTGAGGAAGGTGTTAAGAAGCTATGTATGGCAAGATTGAATTTATGGAGCTGGTTCTAAGACAACCCTAATCTGTTACTATACTATTTTACTGATATATTTATGTAATCTAATTCTTTTTAGTCTTCTCTTTAAGCAAAAGTGAGACAATGGGAGGGAGGAAAGAAAACAAATAATCTTGGTGTGAAATACTTTATTGATTAAGAAAGATTGGAATGTAGCAATAGAAAGTGAGGGGAAGACATCAATGGAAGTTTCTCCAGCGCCCAAGCTTTATTTCGCTTACCTTGTGCCTGCTCTTGAGGGGCAAGCCCACTGATTTGTGTATTGTAAGCACTCAACAAATGCTTTAAATTCCTGAAAGGTAGGAGGCAGGATACCCTCTGCCAAAGAAAAAGGTAGGTACTTTCTTTCTCCTCTTTCTCCTAATGGTGCCACTTGCTTCAGTATCCAGGTTTCAGATTATTATTAATTACTATAAAAATTTGGAAGATTTCTTGGACATTTTGTGAAATCTTGTGATTTCCTGAACAGATATATTTGAATATTCTTTAGCCTAAGTATCCAGATTCTAAAGTGTAGATAATATGGTCCACCAGATTAATAATGATTAATATAATTTTTATTTGTTCTTATTTTTAAAATGTAAATTCTTAATTATGAAGAATTTAAAATATAAACAAAAGTACACATTGGTATAATGAAATCCCTTTGTACTCATCACCTCAGCAACCATTAGCCCTTCATGGCCGGGTCTCAATGGATAATTCTTTCCAACAGGATGAGTGAAGTCTTTGTGAGGAGAAAGTGTTTAGAAGGGAGAGGGCCTAGGTAGGGAAGGAGACAGTACTTCTCAACTCTCAAGCTTACCTCTTCCTCTTTGCTGCCACTCTTACTTTAGCATTGGTAGATGGGGAAGATGGAGATTATTTGATTCTTGAGTATTATATCCTATATAGGTAAGAATTAATAGAGTGATTTTGAAGATTAAGTGAGATAATGTATATAAAATGAAATAGTAGCTGTTGCTGTGGTTATATCTATATGTAGGCTTAAATGAGTTTTGGAAATGTTGGACATAGGTCAGTCTGGGGCGATTACCTATTGTAGTCTTGTAGAAGTATCAGAGCAAAGTTAACAAAGTTAATCAAGATCAAGGTCAGGATTGAGGATCACTCAGGATCAAAAGGTTAATCCTGGTTCTGTCTTGAGTTGAACAGGGCACTGGATGCATTTAAATTCATCACAGGAGAGTTCTGATACAAAATTCACCATAGTTTTGAAATGATAGCAATGATCAGTGTTAATTTTGATATTATGGGTGGGATATTTTATTCTTGTTTGGCTCTGGTGTTCTAGATTCCAAAAAAGGGAGAATTTCTCTGTGTCAAACTTTAGGCAAATGTGAATTTTAAGAAATCCTCCTGTGATTTGAATAATGGCAAATCAAGGCCAATTCAATCAATTTGAATATTAAATTTTCTTATGCTTATTTTAACAATTTGTTTCTATGGGTATTATGTTGCTGTAAAGAAACTATTATAAAACTTTCTTTAAAAACGTTCATATCATTCCATTAGCTTTACAATATTCCCAGGAGAGGATGACATTTTGGACCTTTTAAAAAAATCTCTGGGAGCTCAGACTTCTGGTTAAGATGGTGTAATAAGTTCATACTTGGAAGGAAGAAACATACTTTTGTCTCCAAAGAGATCAATAATATATGAAATATACTAAAAAAAAAAAAAAGACCTATCTGGACTCAAAATCAAGATAAACATCTCAATAAGACAGAAATGGGACAGCAGTGTAGTATGGAGGAAAGCCTCTGATCTACTTGACTCTTGGTCCAGAAGCAGGCAGCCAAGGCAGTGAGCACTGTGGCCGCTGCTGACTCACAGAAAGATGTGCAGTAAGGCAAGTGGCCAAGCTTGGTCTCTATGAGACTAGATCTCAGGGCCGGGGTGGTGAGGGGGGTGGGTAGCTCTCTTCTCTCCTCTGGGAAAAACAAAACCTAAAAATGGAAGATTTGAAGAAAGCTGCTGGGGTTACCACCTCGAACCAGGCCTGCACAGTCCTGAGGGCTCACTCACTTGGATCTAGAGCTGCACAGGATACAACCTGTACTGGCCTGCAGCCTGCCGAGTGCACATCCTGCAGCAGTGCACAGCCCAGTGGCATCAACTGTAACAGCGCCCCACCTGCAGCACACCTCTTTGGCCTTGCAGACAAAGCTCAGTCTTTTCACTGAAATTACTCTTCACACTTTTTGCTCTCATTAAAACCTAGCTGCTTCCTGAGATCCTTTTCTCCTACAGCCTTCTCAGGCAGAGTTTTTTTTTTTCTTTAGGCCAGGCTGTCTTGTTCTGGAGCTCAGGTAGGTGTCTTCCTTACCTCTCTGCTGAATTCAGACAACTGTAGCTTCTCTTCCCTAAAAAATCCCAACTCCTTTGAGGCACCTGCTGTCAGACAGCTCCCCGTCTGCTGTCACTTTCCCAACCTTGGAATTGTGAAGCAAACTTACCAGTTCTTTTTTACCATTAGTCTTGCTTCACTCTTTTTTAATTAAGATTTTTTTGAAATGCCTAAAAGATAACTATTTTCTTTTTAAGATAACCATAGCAACATTTCACTTTTCTCTGTCTCTTAAATGATTTCTATACATTAAATAGAAATGTAACAGGTCACATTTCTCTAATTATTTTCTAAGTATACATTTTTATAATTGCTTCCTTTGTGCAGAAAAGTCCCCATATTGCATTTAGTTAACATGTCCCTTCAGTCTTACAAAATGTGAGACAATTCCTCCTCTTTGTTTGTTTAAGAAACCAGATCATTTGTTCTGGTTTTTTCCCCACTTTTCTATTTACATCCAGTGGTCTGATTACCTTGAACATGTTCATCTAGCCTGTGTATTTCCTTGTAGGCTGGTTATTAGATTGAGAGCCTTGATAAGGATAAAGTATAATTCATGGGTGGTTCTGTGCACTGCCTGTTGTATTTTGCCTACTGATCTTTGATTTAGAGATGTTAAAAAGATTGATCAGAGTGTTCAGGTGCTGTCAGCCTGATTCATCTATCATATGCTTCCTCCTTAGGCTTTTTCCTTAATGTTCTCACTAGCCATTGATAGTGCTAAGAAACCTAGACTTAGGTTTCTTGAGGGCTACAAAATGGTTACATGTAATTCTATCATTCCTTCTGCTTTGAGCAGCTAGAATTCTTCTAGAAAAGTCTTTCCCAACAATCATTTGGGGTCAGAAATCATATAGCCTATGATTTTTATAGGGTTTATAGTTTTATGATCATATTGTCTATATCCAACTTCTACACCATACTCCTTTGACTGTATTTCAGTATATAGCATTTTCTACCTTATATTGGTCCATTACTTCATCATTCAGCTTGAGTCACAGATTAAAGATATCTAGACTTTTTTTTTTTTTACTTATTTATAAATTTTCTGTATCTGTATTTCTGTTGGTTGATTTTTTTTATATTCAGATATACCAACTATTCCTAGTTCCTTCCTATTTAATTCTCTTATGTGTAATCAAGAATACATTGAATTTTTTTGTGTTATAAATCTTGCTAGTGTAGTTAAAATCTTGATGTATATTAATGTTGTTGGTATTTCACTTCTTTTTTAGGTTCGTAACGTTCTTAACGATGCAGTGGACTTGCTGGAATTCCGTGACAGAGTCATTAAAGCATCTTTGAACTACGCACACTTAGTTGTTTCAACATCTCTTCAATGTTACGTGTTCTCGTAAGCAACTTGCATTTCTTAAAAATCAAAGAATCTTGTCTGTGATGGAGAATTTATTTTCAAACTTTCATGTGTGGTTTAAGCTTTCCCAAAACCTCACCTGTCCTGAATTTACTCCCAACCAAGAAGTGACAAGAAAGAAATATGAGCACTGAAAATAGATCTGATAAGTCTATGCATCAAAGATTAATAATCACTTATGTTCAATGTTTATTGTTATTATATTGTGCTCACAATTCTAAGGAATTTAATATAATTTGATTTCAAAGCCAGAAAAGATTCGGAGCGACTGATAAATGATGGGAAAGGAGCACCACTAAGCCAGCTCCTGACAACAGTGTAAAGCTATTCAGTAAGGACACAGGCTGCGTAGTGTAGCCCAGGGTAATCATGGGTGATCATAAGGATAATCCATCGTCATCCAGAACTGGTGGTAGAAAGTATATTCAGTATATTTTATATTGGAAGGCAGATAATAAATCAGTACATCCAAGAAACTTACACCTAAAACCTAATAATTATACCTGGAATTTTTAAAGGGCAGTTCAGTGTGCGCTGACAAATGTTGAACAACTGGCTTTTGAGAAAATAAACTTGGTTTGCAGTGTTGGGTGTTTCTATGATTTAAATACTTCTAGCATGACGAATTCCCAGCTACTAAATAGAATGTCATTGAAAACGTCATTGAGGAGAGGTAAATCATTGTGTAGTAGTATTGCCACTATATGGATACAACTGATGTAAGTTATCTCAAGGGCATGGAGATAGTAATAAAGTCCTAGAAGGAGTATGGTTAGAATATTTATTCTGAACATAATTTGCTTAAATATAAGTTTACATAAATTTTTTAGAAAAAAATTACATAATTTTATTTATTCTTACATAGAAGATCTAGGGTGTAGGCCAGAGATTGGGAGGTGAAAGGATTCACCAGAGACAGAGTGGGGAACAGAACAGGCAGATCTACTGAAATACACTGCTGAGGGGAGCAGCCGGTGAGAGGGGGGAGGTCTGCTGTGCCATGTGGGTTATCTCCCTGGTCAGGGATCTAACTTTTTTTCTATCACTCTACTTTTCTCATAACCACTAATATGTTCCAAACTATGATTATTACTTTCTAGTATAAACTTACCATTCCATCTCTCCTTGTCAAGACATTTACTGAGGTATAAAACATTTATTAATGTGAACGAAGTACCAGCGAGCAGATGTGGGAATGAGCTTAGTGCTAAGACCTGTCACCAAAGCATACTTCATTAAATTAAAAACCTACCAGTATTTTGACTTGCAACAGCTGTTTATTGAGCACTGTTATACAGTTTTTATGCTAAACTGTTTACCCTTGTCTGTTGGCGCTATTGTTATTCCCATTTTACAAGATGAAGATGTGAAGAACCCAGATGCCAACTAGTAACTTGCTTCATGTCTGAATCACTTCTTTACTAAAGTAGAAGCTGAGTCTGCATTCTTAATAATGCTGCCTCTTTTTAGTAATGAAATGTTAAAACAAACATGAAGCCGTATACACTTTTATATGAAAATAAGTTCCTCTAAAAAGGAAATAATATATAAGCAGTTCTGTGTTAAATTTTCTCTTGTATTTTCCAATACTACTATAGAAAATACTCTTGTTCTATTAAGCATTATGGTTAAGGAAGTTTATATTACCATGGCATGTATAAATAAGGAGTCATTAAAAAAACCTCATAATCAGGCTCTCCCTGGTGGCGCAGCGGGTTAAAGCACAGCACTGAGAAGCTTAAGCCACTTCCGCATGAGGTCAATTCCCGCCTTCCCCGGAGGAGATTCACATGGCGAGATAGAGCTCTCCTGACCGCCCGCTGCTCCCCTCAGCAGTGTACTTCCTTAATCTGCCTGTTCTGCTCCCAACTCTGTCTGTGGTGAATCCTCTCACCCTCCGCATCTCTGGCCTGTACTCCAGTTCTATATGAATAAATTAATGAAAATCTTAAAAACAAAAAACAAAAAAAACCCCTCATAATCATTGTTTTATCAACTCCCAAAAAGAATGAAAGTTAATTCTCATAACTGCATAAATTAAGCAGGCTATGATATTTTTTATAAAACACCAAAGTATATATCTTCATCATACATATGAACCCAGGGTTCTAATCATTAGTAGCACTTTATTTAAGTTATGTTTTATGCATGCATTTACTTGTTGAATTGAGTATCAGCCTACATTAGCCAAGAATAGTTTTCCATGAGTTTACTGCACTCTTCCCCTCTTCCATCTTCTGAGTCTGAACATGAGATTTAATCAGACTTGAAGAACTGGGTCTATAAAAGTAACTGAGAGTGATTCAAATATATATGAATCATAAAACATTTTAAACTGTGAAATAACTTTGATTGTTTAGGGATGATTTTTCAGTGTTATCAGTGCTCTCTTCTCATCCCTTTGTTTGAACTATATTACACTATAAAAACTAAAAGAATTATCTATTTATTCATCCATTTATTCAACAAGCACGCTCATAGCTTACATTTATGTAGTGTTTTACAGTTTACAGAATGCGTCACAGAAATCTTTTCATTCAGCCCCACAATAATATTAAGAGAGCTATCGGGGAAAGGTCATGTTCACTGTGTTATTGTTAAAGTTTCTGGATTTTCAGTGTCTCCTATGTACAGGCAGTTAGATAGATAACTTTGGTAAGTGGCCTTTATTTCCATTTTACAAATCAGAAAACTGAGACTTAGGAGGTTAAGCTTAAGGACATATGGCCAACAAATGGTAAAGCGAGATTTCTAATCCTCATCTGTCTAGCCAAAAATCCATCCTTTTTCCACTATGGCATGCTGCTGCTGTTTTTCAGGTGAGAAATATTAGATTGCACAAATGAAAGAGCTAATCAATGACAGACCTTGGACTTATACTTAGGACTCCTTGATTCACATACTGTGATTACCTACATTAAACATTGAATGCTGATATGCTGGGTGCTGGGAACAAGTCTGCTTCCTAGTGAGGGATACAGACATACAAGTGAAGAATTGCAAATAATGCACCAACTGCCATATAGAAATATATACAAAGTTGTTGAGAAGTGGTCTAATTTATTTAAAATGAATACCTATTTATTTATTTTAAAGTATTCGGTATTTCAAATATTAATATATATCCATTTTATTTCTGTTTTAGTACAAAGAACTGGAATACACCACTTATATTTGATCTCAAAGAAGGGACTGTTAGTTTAATTCTGCAAGCAGAAAGGTAATTTATCACTTTGACTACTGGACTTGGGATTAAAATATCTCAAATTGTTGGAAAGTACACTCTATAGCATGCTGTTTACTCAGTCGTACATTAGTCATTTGGAATCAGTCTATTTTCTACTATTATTTTGAAAGAAAAAACAGGAAATAAGCTCTCAGATGAGTAATTCTGAAAGTTTTCGGTCTCAGAATTTCTTTATATTGTTAAAATGAATATTATACGTAGGTTATATGTATATACATATATATATATCAGTATTTGCTATATTGAAGTTTTTGAGAAATTTAAGAGGTGCTAATTTAAGATGATGAGAATAAGTGTTACAAGTAAACATTAGAACAATGACATGAGAATGAGTATGAAATAAATTATTATGAATTTGTTTTGATCTGATGGTTAAAAACTATGTTTGTTTTGTTCTGTTTGCTTTTTAATTCTGTTTTTAAGTATTGGTTTATACTCAATGATTTTATGAGCCACTACTAGTCTATGACCTTCAGTGTATAAAGGACTACAAAACTCCCAAACTATTAACTAGAAAAATTGGAATAGCTACTACCCACACTTTCCATATAAACAGTCAACCAAAGCTCCAACCTATTAAAACCTGGAATAAAGTATGAATGCATAAGCAGCAGTTACCTAAAATAGTTGCTCATAAAATCTTTGCACTAAAACCATGTATTTTATTCCTTATCCCTTTACTCACCATCTAAGCAGCTCTTGATTGTGTTATCAGGTTTTCTAGCCCACAACCTTTTATAAATAGCAAACCAGAAAAGGAAGGGTGCTGGTAGACTGTTAAGAGGCTAGCATAATGACAACAAGAAAAGTGACTGTCTAGCAAGGGAGTTTAGCGAAAACTAAAAGTGCAGAACTATGTGTATAGTTGAGCATAATTATTCTGCAGTACTAACAGATTTACATGAGTCTCAAAGCCACTCTATCAGTTAAACAGCTACAAAGTGCATAGTTAATATATTGATGACCTTGAATAATCAAGAAAATAATTGTTGTTTTATGTTATACAAGCTTTGTATTACCTGTAATTGAAATTGATAAATGATTTATATCACACCTTTTTTATAACAAAAGGACATGTTTGGCACTTAACGGGTAAGATATAAGCTATCTAAAAAATGTACTTTTGAAATTCTTTTTACATTAATCATTTCAAATGTTTTTACACATTGTTCATAAATTTATTTATCGACTATGCAATTAGTAAAGGCATATGATAATTACATACATGACTAGATATTTAAAGCATATTTTACTTACTCCCTATTTCTGGTCCTATTTGTTTATTTAGAAATACTTGTCCCTTGAAACATGGTATTTATTTAGGAGGAGTTTAAAAGCTGTTTTGTTTTGTTTAGAAGAGAAAATACTTTTATTACTGAGACTAAATAGGCCTCTCTGTTGGAGCAGGGATTAAAGACAGCGCTATCAGGCTATACTCAGCCACTGCAGCACAAGTTTGATCCCCAGCTGCCAGGGAGCTGACCCATATGGTGCAGTAGACTTCTCCTATCTGATCCGCTGCTCCCCTCAGCAGTCTATTTCAGTCTATCTGCCTGTTCTGCTCCGACTCTGTCTCTGGTGAATCCTCTCACCTCCAGCACCTCTGACTTACACCCCAGTTCTTGTATGCCTAGATAATCTTTTTTTAAAAAAAGATTTATTTATTTATGCATACAGGAACTGGAACAGGCCAGAGGTGTGGGGGGAAGTGGTGAGAGGACTCACCAGAGTTGGGGACAGAACAGGTGGATTGACTGAAATACACTGCTGAGGGTGGCAGCTGGTGAGACAGGAGAGGTCTGCTGTACCATGTGGGTCACCTCCCTGGCCAGGGATTAAACCTGCACTGCAGAGGCTGAGGTTAGCTTCACAGTGCTGCACATTAACCCCTTGTACTACCAGGGAGGCCCCCTAAATACATACATCTTTAAAAAAAAAATCCTGAAACTAAATATGTGATCTTGCTAAAATTAGCAAATATTGTTCTCATACACTAATGTATGTGTGCCAGACCCTCTTTAGTTAATTAAGCTACATGTGTTATTAAGGAATAATGGTACTTACTGTATACTGATATTTCACTGGTTTTGGTGTTTCTTTCCATACCAAGAAGGAACAACTAGCAATTCCTTCAAGAAATATTTCTAAATCAAGGGTATTAAGGCATTCAGCATAGATTTTAAAGACTAATGAAGTATTTAGCACTGAAGAAACAGGTACTCCAATGTAGCAATTGTATGAATATAAACCAATATGACATTCAAAGGTTAGTTTTACAATTTAAAAAGGATGTGCCCTTTGATTTAATAATTGCCAACTAGAAGTTATACTAAGTATAGATATGATGAATATAGACACACAGAAATGCATATATACTTCAGACATAGCTTTGAAGAGTGAATAATGAAGTAAAGTGTCCATCAGGAGCAAGTTAATTAAGTCAAATTATAATATATCCATGCTTTGTCTGTCATGAATTGACTCTGGATATAGGATTGCAAGAGAATTTTTGCTACTTCTATTGTTTGGATTGTTTTTTCAAGTTCATGAATGTTCCAAGGAGAAAAAAAAAACATAAAAAAATCTATATTTTGATTTAATAAGAAACAGAACCCTTTTCCTTAAAATATATCTGTCAGCATAACAAATACATTTCTGATATGAAAACATGGTTTTAGTATGAGTACATTTGATGAGCATATTATTTTAACTTCAAGCATCTTATTTTAATAAATGCTGACTCCGATATTAGTTTTTTGAGTCATTTATACTTTTTTGCACTTTAATCAGCATTTAACATCATCTTTAACATAACCTTTAATTGTGAAATATGTATTAGCATTATGTAGGCAATAAGTAACATCTGGCTCTAATGTCACCAAGTTGTAAATGATAAGTTTTTCTTACTGCCTTTTTATGGAGACATGCTTCTTTAGGGAAGAAAGTGAATTGCAAGCATAAGGTAAAAGGAGTTTGAATTTTAGTATAGTGAATCATGATTATGGGCATTTTTACTTTTCTTCTCCTACCTCCATAAAAAAAAAAAGCAGTTAGCAAAACAAGCAATGTTCATTTTCAGGTTTTATATTTCATTCTTTATATGTATATATTTTATTCCTTTTGTCATAAGATGTATGTTTGCTAGAGAAAAACTATTCTCTAAATAAAAGGGGAAATATAGTGGTCTTATTTGCAAATGTATATTTGTTCTTTGTTTTCCAGACATTTTCTTCTTGTAGATGGTAGTGGTATCTATTTATATTCTTATGAAGGGCGTTTCATTTCTTCTCCAAAATTTCCTGGTATGAGAACAGATATTTTGAATGCACAAACTGTGTCTCTGAGTAACGATACCATAGCAATAAAAGATAAAGCTGATGAAAAAAGTAAGTACATTTTTATAATTTCCTATGCCAAATTTCCATAAAATTTAATGCTGTAAATTTTTTATAAATTAATTGAAAGAATTATGAGCTTCCTAATTTGTTGTAAGAATGAATTAATTGAACTACATTATATTTATTCCAATACATGGAGCAAATAGATATTGTCACAACGTCAAAGTTTAATGGTAAGGGGTGAATCTTGATATATTCAGTTACTTTTGGTAGAGTTTGAAAATCAAGACATTAATTTTTAAGTTTATGGATCTTTAAGTTTAGTCATAAAACATTACCTTTTTCTTCATTTGGTAATACAGTGATTAATGTCTATCAATGGACTATTTTCCCATATATTTGTTTTAAATTCTATTTTAAATTACTGATTAGGAGAATATTATGAGTAATTTGAAATTTCACATGATATTCTAGACCACATTCATACATGTTAATATGTAAGCTGTTTTGGAATTCCATAATAGAGTGATACTATCTTATGAATGCATTGCTCTATCAGTTAACCAACAAGTGTTATGCTCAATAATTATACTTAGTACTGATACTTTTCTAAAAATTGAGAACATAATAGTGAAAAGGAGAGATGACTAAACAAGTAAATAATCAATTGTGAAGAAAATAAGGTAAAGTGAGGTATGGAGAATTTTGGACAGGGACAGGAAAATGACCACATGAAAAGCAAGTACAGGGGTTCTGTGGTAGGTTGAGTAGGAACTGCCAAAGGACCCTGGGAACAGATCAATATGAACTGGCAGAAAATGGTAAGAGTGGAGGACAGAGAGAGAAGCAAGAATCAGATCATGTGAGCATCTGGTCATGTGGATAGAGGAAATGAGAGGGGCAAACCCTATTACCTAAGTTTTATCTAGGGAGAATAAGGAAGACAAGGGAAGAAGTTTAAAGGAGGTCCACAAACCATGCGTTCTGTTTTGGCCATAATACGTTTAAATACTTAGACATTCAAGCACTGGTGGGGAGAAAATAAAAATAAGATTTTTATTTTCTGACCACAGTCTAGGGGGCAGAATTGTTGAGGACTAGAAATATAAATTGGGAAGTTATGGGGTTACAGATGGAACCATGGCATTGAAATCAGCCAAAAGACTAAGCATTATAATTTAGAGGTAGGTAAGAGGAGTCAGTGACATAAGGTGAGTTATCCTTAAACTCCAGTGGGAACATATTAAATACCTGTTTTTCTCTAAACATTGTCTGTGAAATGTTACCCAAAAAGTCCTTACCTGACTTTAGTTGTGCTATTTTATGTCATGGAAGACTTAATTCCCGAGCTAGGAAACCATCCAACTTTTGAGTTTCTAGTATTTTCTGATAGCATAATTTATTCATAGGAAAGATTTATTTATTTATTCATACAGAACTGGGGTACAGGCCAGAGGTGCAGGGGTGGTGAGAGGATTCACCAGGGACAGAGCGGGGAGCAGAACGGAGAGATCGAGGAAGTACACTGCTGAGGGGAGCAGCGGGCGGGTCTGGAGAGGTCTGCCTCGCCATGTGGATCTCCTCCCGGGCAGGCGGGGATTGAACCCATGCAGAAGTGGCTTAAGCTTCTTAGTGCAGTGCTTTAACCCGCTGCGCCACCAGGGAGGGCCGAGAGGACTTTTGTTTATAAAAGATCTATCTGGCTAATAAAAAGAAAAGAGAGTGTAATATTATCTAGGTAAACAGATATAAGAAGACTGAGTAATTGCTAGTAATTATTTGGACGTCAGATTTTTGTCTTCAGTAAAATGTTGTCATCAGTAAACTTGAAAATCCCTATGATTACTATGAATTGCTTATGCTTTTCTTACTCACCACCATATTTTTAAAATAGTTTTAGTAAAGTTTATGTTCCCAGCTGAATATACCTTATTTTAAAAGTTTTTATAGTTCTTTACATCTGAAGCATATTTTTCTTTTTTTTACCCCCGTGTTTTTTAATCCTTTGAAAATTCATAGAAAGTTAGAGCTAGAGAGAATTATGAATATTTTTAGAAAAATAGTTTGTCAGTAAGTTATCTCTCTTCTATAAATGTTAATTATTGAGTAAGATAATCATGTAATTGTTTTGCTGTCATTAGAAAAAAGCCTAAAGAGGTTATTGGTAGAAGTGATATGAGATGAGAGGGAAAGTATTTTCCTATGTTCTTTTTTAAAGCACTAGTATTCATAGATACTCAACAGAAGTATATGCTAGTAACATAAACCACCATTGAAGTACCTGGAATTTCTACCCTGCAGAATTTCCTCCCTCAAGGGAAACAGGCACACGTGAAAACAGTAATTCTTTCCTAATTTGGGAACTCCCTTCTGGTAGGATTCTTTATATGATGCCTACTACACTCATGGAATATAAGAGTTCTATAAATGTGTGTGAACTGTATTTGAATATCCCTTGTGTTTGGTTAAGTTGGGGGCTTTTTTTTTTTAAGTTCTTACTTTCTATAGCTACGAAATAACTGGATTTACCAAACCAAAGGCAATTTTAAAATGCAGTTTATACCTGCCATCACAATTTTATTATAAAGGATATAATAATATGAAGGCATAGTATGAAGCCTGGAAAGGAAGACAGAACATCTCCTTATGGAATCCTCCAGAGTTTTCACCAAAAAAGAGCTCCTTTGTTCAGAGTTTTTAAGAGGGTTTTATTTCATAGTCCTGGTTAATGTAATGATTGAACTCATTTTCCAGTCCCTTTCCTCCTATTCTCAGTGTCCTGGAAGCTGAAAAGTCCCAATCCTCTAATCACTAACTCGATCTTTCTGGTAATCAGGCCCCCACCCTGATGCTACTGAGGTACCCACCAAGAGGCTCCCTATTAGTTAGCAAGGACATTGCTATCACCTGGGAAATCCAGGGGTTTTTGAAGCTCTCTGCTAAGGACCCAGGAAAAACCAGACAAATTATTTTTTTATACCATAGTAGTATATTGACCACAGGGAACTGACCCACACATAACACCTTGTCTGGCGATACAGTAGGCATTTGATACATTTTTCTTTTGTGGAATATTAGTGCCCCTGATGACCTAAATCAGAATTACCAAATTTGCAAATTACATTCAGTTTTGGACTTGTCAATCCTGATCCTATAGCATTTTGCTACCATGCCATTAATAATAATTCTAACTTGGCAATGAAAGTTTTAGGAAAAAACATTGCTATCATTTTTTCATTAAGAATAGGCCATATTCAAAGATAAATAGATGGGACTATATCAAGTTAAAGAGCTTCTGTACAGCAAAAGAGACATTACTAAAAACAAACAGAAAGATCACTAATTAGGAA